CATATAAGTGAAAAGTTTTCGAGAGGAAACTTAGACAACATACAATCAATCATTTTCTTTAGCCATTTGTTGAAAGAATTCAAGAGGTTTCACGAAATTCTTTTATACAATTTATTAAAGTAGATTAAGAGGGATTAGATGTGTATATAAATCGTGCATCAAATGTAGAGGGAATTCACACCACTTCTTATCCTCATAATGTTGAAACTTTTGTATCTCGTCAGTTTGCTATGTTATGGATCAGATGGACTTTTACTTGGTGACAAAGAACATCATATGATCGGCAATGCCTCTGGAATCGAAGTTTTAGGTCGAATTGAAACACTCGAAAAACAGCTGGCGGAAGAAAAGCGAGATCGTTTCATTTTAGAACAGACCGTAAGGGATATTAACACCAAATTTCATGGCACTCTACTGAGCATTAATCAGATTGAATTGCAGCAAAGAGAATTTCAAAATAATGTATCAAGGGACAATTTGGAAATCCTACAACGATCTCAAAATGTCAACCTGACCATCAACAATATTACTGCCTTATTGCAAAGAACAATGTCGGACTTCTCCAGCCTTTCCTCAAAGTACAACCTAGAGGTACAAGCTATATACAGCAATATTTCCAAGATGTCAGGATCAGGTATTTACATTTCTCTCTCTCTCTCTCTCTCTCTCTCTCTCTCTCTCTCTCTCTCTCTCTCTCTCTCTCTCATTCTTATTTTTACATGTCCTTTACTATACAGTGTATTTCTTTTTTCAGTGCAAGACTTACAAAGAAAGGTATCTTTCTTCGCAAAACTATCTAGCAGTGTCCGAATTTCAGCAGCTCACCAAACTGTCGTGTATGATACGGTTTTGACAAATAACGATAATGGATACAACCCAAAGAATGGAATCTTCACTTGTCCTCAGTCAGGAACTTATATGTTTATCTGGCAAACACTGATTAATCCTCTCACATATATCAGACTGGAGATCGTAGTGTCTGGATCAGCTTTATATGGTATTGTGGAGGATACACAAGATGCGAATGACTTTGACACAGCAACTGGGTCTATAATTATTCATGTTAATGTTGGTGATACAGTGTTCATTCGTTCCCGAGACAGCGGTCCTGGACCTATGTTCACCGAATCCAGTGTCATAACCTCCTCATTTTCTGGATACCGAATTTAAAGAATGATAACACTGCTTTATAGCTAAAACAAAGTCTATCTGTACTTTCATTGATGTCCAGCGATGTATTGCATCGGATATATATTACGCTGAGCCGTGGTGTGCTTCTAAACTCCTTCTTTATTCGTTACAATAGTATACGTAGTCAAATTAAAATTGATGGACTCAAATGTTGATCATATGTGGTGACGGTGGCCTAATTAAATGAATACTGTAAACATATTACATTTGGCGGTGTATTATTTTTGGCGGAAAGAAACATCCGCTAATTTAAGTTCAACGCTATAATGTCTTTTAAAACATATACACATTAATAAGAACAATAAGAAATGCACTTAATCAAATCTACGCTTACTTGACTGTTCAAAAATCAATTCCCGCCAAATATCGTAAACGCTAAATGAGCCGTTGCAAGCAAAAACCCCCCTTATGTCAAAACTTTTCTTGAAAAAAGATGTAAAACGTTAGGTGAATATAACTTGTAAATATTACAGGTGTATCTTGCCCCGTTACGGATTAACAGGTAATCAAAGTATGCAAAATTTATACGGATGACGTAATATTTTATAAATTTTCTCTTGTAGCGACATAATAAAAACATGCATTACTTATACACAAAGACTTAGTATTGTATTGCCGTTCTGACTAATATATGTGCTTATTTTGTTGTTAATATATATATTTTTTCTTTTTTTATGAAAAATTTCAGTTCATTCTTTTCTGATTTTCATTAAAAGTTTGTCAGTGGAATTCAAATAGTTCTATGATTCGCTGACTTTGAGAAAACATCACAACTAATTCATTATTGATAGGTCGTTTACAAAGAAAAATACACTTTCAATTTTACCGCTTAAGTTCAGCCTAAATTTTTTAAATCAGCAACAAAAAATATTTCAGTTTCCATTAATTTATTTTTGATACGAGTACCTTAATTGATTTTACTTGTCCAAACTTTGCCTTCAAAACACTGACCAGAGAGAGAGAGAGAGAGAGAGAGAGAGAGAGAGAGAGAGAGAGAGAGAGACAGATTAAGGGGGAGGGGGGGGGGGGCTTGCGCTTTTATTAATGAACACAACATAAAGAATTTTATAAAGTATGGTATACATGAACCAATGTAAATGATGAGTACCATTTATCCACTTTCAAAATGTTCAACTATAAATGCATTTTCTTTGCTTAATTATGTCCTCATTTATTAAAAAATGTAAGATGGAGAGGGAGAATGAAAGAATAAATATAAGTACTAGTATAAACACAATTTCGACTAGATATTTACAGTGTACATGTTAAATCTGTAATATATGAATAGTTAAAGTATTCTTTTCAGATTTCAAATTATGAAATAACTAATAAAAACATGACCTGAAAAACTTAAAAAATGGGTAAGGCAAATATGATTCAGCTTTTAAAAAAATCTTATATTTTCTACGGTACAATCGTATACATATAGTGATATATAGAACATGTAATTAATATACAGAAGACTGCCAAACATTAAGTTCCAACTATAACTAACAACAAAATTATGAGAGTCGATCCTAATGTGCTTTACGCATAGATCTATGAAAGTGAAAATTAGCCTGATACTTTCTCAAGATTTAAGTCAGTTATGCGATCCGAGCTGAAGATAAAAAAAGCATACATGTCAGTTTTTTTTTAAACAGGTTGTTATGAGGCAAGTTCCACAGGTCAGAACTTGGGCTCTTGTTTCAATAGTGGTTGAGTGCATTTTAGTACCAAAGATAGCTTGCAATCACGATTGAAATAATTTTCACTTTTGAAATAAAGATTTCAATGATTGAAATATAGATTTTAAAGGTGATTGAAATATTGATTTCTATAGTGCTTTGAACAATGATTCCAAAAGATATTAAAATGATTATTTTAATAGTCGCTGACAATGATTTCAATACCAAATCCACAATGCAAACTTTTTAGAAGTATCCCAACTATTAAAACAAATATAAGGATGAATTACACGTTCTGTTTTCCAACACATTAAACAAATTTATTGAGTTTAAAATATGATAGCTAATGTTTTCCTTTTTGTAGAAATTTCAATTAATACACAGACACTTATTTATTAAACTGACTATCTATAACTCAAACATGTATGGAAATGTTATAAGCAAGCCCCCGCTGAATCTGTCCGAATCGGCGAAAACCAACATGCAATCAATTTATAAAATATGCAGTTTTGAAATAATTTTTATATAAAGTACATTTTTGTTATTGATCTTGAAAGGAAAGGACCATAAATATATCTAGATATAGAAATTAGAATGTCTAGACTACATTGAAAAGATGATAGAAGAAATAATTTTGTGTACAAACTTTCTGATGGAAATATCTTTATTTTTAATAAAAAGAATATAGAATATAACTAAATTGTCGCTCATATTCATAGAAATACCTATACTACAAATATGGATAGTAAATCCAACGTCTACTCGTCAATACATTAAAAGCTAAATTTCTAGGGAAATTAGTATTAGGTTTATTACAATGATTTGTGTTATTTCAATAGTGATTAAAATGTGGTAGTGTTTTGAAACGGATTTTCAACTTCTTGAAAAATAATCATTCACAAGTAGTCGTAATTTTAATGGTAACTCAATAAATGAATTAAAAATGTAGAACATAATGAACAATTAATTCTTATATTATTTAATAGTTAAGTTAACACAATAAGTCTTGTAATGTTGTTTAAGTATTGGGTAAATCATCAGCAACTATCAAAATATTATTTAAATCACTTTTGAAATCATTATTTCAATCGCTATTGAAAACTTTAATTCAGTAGTGAATATTATTTTAATAGTGGTTGAAACTTGTTTATGTTTTGAAATGCAATCAGAACCACTACTGAGATCTTTATTTCAAAAGTGAACATTGTTTCAATAGTGGTTGCAACCTATCTTTGGTATTGAGATGCACTCAACCACTATTGAAATAATTATTTCAATATTCGTCGTATTTCAATAGTGGTTACAACCTATGTTTCTTATTGAAATGCACTCTCAACCACTACTGAAATAATTATTTCAATAGAGGTCGTATTTCAATAGTGGTTGCAACCTATATTTGTTATTGAAATGCACTCTCAACCACCATTGAAATATTTATTTCAATAGTGGTCATTATTTCAATAGTGTTTGCAACATCTTGTCGCCGGATTTAAATTAAAAGATTCCTTAATGGATTAAAATGTTATTTACATTTGACTACAACATTGTCTATAGACAAATATGCCCTACGCTATTAAAGATTCCCCCCAAAATAAATCATTTTAAGCATTTTATTATAATTACATATATTGTACTCATATACTTTATGCAGGTATTAAAAATCATAAAGTCCATACGTTGTAAAAAAAATTATTTATAAGAATTGAAATCAGATTTTGGTCCTCTCTGACCTAGGACAGGAACCATTCTAGATCTGTTTTGAGTAATTAAAGAACATTTTATCACTTCTTTCCAAGTTTTCATTCAGAGTTGTAATCTTAGAAAGAGATTGTGATAAGAGTTATCTTACTTTGATAATGACTGTATATATACTGACACGCAAAAGAAACGCAACACCCTACTTTAGAGGGAAATAATTATGTAAAGTAAAAAATTTGTATCTTAAAATTATGAATATCTTCAATTTGGTAAACATCGGTAATTTAACGCTTGAACGATTTCCATACCATAACCGGAAGTCAAGTTTGAGTCTGCTTAAGCGAAATCAAAAATTGCATGTTGAACAAAACATTTGGCAATATTATGGAGTTTTAAGGGTTTTATACTGTTCATCATAAGTAATTTAGCAATATTTCAAAAAATAAACTCTCCTTCCTTTTCCCGTAGCGATGCTAAGGTTACTTGAAAATGGCCTATGTACGCATTTCCATTGCTCTGGCTGGAAAATTTCAATGTAAAGGTGATGGAGAGTTGCTGATGCGAAGTTTCACTACATTACGCCTCAACAGGGTCTAGGGTGTGGTTGCGTGTGTGAGTGAGGGTGTGTGTGTGAGTGTGTTTGAATGCGTATGTGAGCACTCATATCTTAATATGAATTGTAAATATATACTCTGTTCATTGTATTGTTACTTTGACCTGTTATATAGAGAGGGTATTTATAGGCTTAAGCCTGTTGCCCAATCTATTCAGTTTACTGAATAAATATTGTTTAAAGTTAAAAAAAAAACAGGGTCTAACGTATCATATGCATTAAAGACAGTCCTTGTACCGGAAGTCCAGGGGTGGCTACACTGCTCTAAGTTAGAGAAAATTCGACCTAATCATCTGAAAAACGGGAATTTAAAAATGTCAAAGAATTATTCCTTCGCTCAGATCTCGATATTAATGAACCTATTGTATCGTAGAAGTTAAGCTGCAATCGTTATTTAGGGCAGTCTTGCATGTTTTACTTGAATGGCTGGAAGGGGGGTGTTTTAACAGTCATATTTTACTTAGTAAAGTAAACAGATAAACATTTAACATTTTTACAAAATCTCTGATGTTCTGCAAAATGAGTTTAGCCATACTTTATTCGCTTTTGAAAATCATAAGATAAAAAAATCAAACATTTGTAGATTACTGCTTGTTGCGTTTCTTTTGCGTGTCAGTATATGTCTTCTTTATTTTGTATTTTATTTTCTGATAATTTATTCCGCATATGCACCTCGTGTTTTTCAATGATAAAGGACACACAGAAAATACCGAATGACACGCCGAGAAAAATATAACGAGTTGAATGAAATCAAGCTGATGAAATTTAACTATTCTTTCTAAAAAAGGATCGAAAAGAATAGTGTAATTGATGTCATAATAATCTAAGGAAATTTTACATTTGAAAAAGAATCCGATCTAATTTAAATTTGATTTAATGAAGTTTTCTTTTTTTATTGAAAAGTGCATGAATTTGATATCAAATATTGTCGTAACTGTAAATACCCCATGTTTAGTTACTTTACTGGCGAAAAATAATCGTATTTAAAAGGACAAGATGAA